ACTATATGTATCCTATTTAAAAAAAAACCCAAACGTTGGCAGCTAAAGGGAAAACTCACCGTGACTACGAAGTTTTTAGACTATTTGTCAGTACCACGACAGCTGTAATCTGTGGACCTCTGCAAGTCGTTAGTGACTCATTTAGCCGTCTGTCCATCAAACTGAACCTGGAACCGTTCGCACAACTCTTTCCGACGACAATTCATCAATTACTCTTGACATCTGCGCACCCCATCGCTTCGTCGATGGCGTGCTCCGAAAGGACAAAAAAAAAATAACCCTGATTCCGTTGCGTATTCAGAAGCCGTACCTTCTAAGTGCTATTCGAGTACTCTTCAATGGATGTGATCCAACAAATTACCGTAGCAGCTTATTGAGCGAAAAGGTGTATTATTCACATTATTCAGTACGTCAGACTCCTAAGTCATTTTTCATTCTCCTGGGTGTCGTTCTGTTATGAAATGTTTCGTCTTTCAAGATCGGTCACGGGCGCAACTAAATTTCTGCACCGTAACGCAGAGTTTTTTATTAAATAATGAGGCATTTTTGGGGCTAAACGTTATCGTGAAAGGGGTAAATTGATTGCGATTTGCAACGGCGTTTTAGAGTGACGTTATTTGAATAATTTATTATTGCCGTCCCCATGTGGGGTTTCTATGTGGCTTTTACTGTTGCTAAGCAGATGCGGGAATGTCGCTATTCTATAGCGTAACTTTATGTTTGTAAGTACCTACACTATAATTTTGATTTCCCTTGTAATTGTGGCCATTGGCTTCTAATTGTTGTATTTCATGGTCTTTGGTTAATGTTTTCTTGTACTGATTTACGAGAATAACGCACGATGGTCAGTTGATAGACTATTTATCTGAAATTCTTGATTCATGTCCATATATTTTTCATCTCTGGTGTGAGAAAACTCTTGCCCGAATCCAGACAGCAGTTAATATGTGATGATCGATAAAATTTATTCAAATAGACATTTATAATCTTCTTTTTACGCAAGGAAATGAACTTCGAATGATGTTTATGTTAGACGAGAAGGTTCAAGTAATAAAGATTCTTAATATAGTATAATTCATTTAAATAATTCGTACAATATAATATACTTCAAGTAATATAGATAATAAAGATTCGGTTCAAGTTTCGCCATGTTAGATAAAATTTTGTTTTGTAAGTATATCTAAACAGTTTTTCTTCTTTGTTAGCATATTGATACTTTAAGTTTTTTTACAAGTTCAACATCTATATATTAATACGTGAAGCAAAAACTTTGTATCCCTTTTTACGAAAATTGCGCGGACGGAGGAGTATGAAATTTTCTACACTTATAGAGAATATATAGAGGAAGTGCACAATGCTAATATTTTTTTTAAAATAATGCATAAAAGATACATTAAATCAATAAAGAAAACATTACACACACTACATACCATGTATTTGACGCACACATGCATGCATACTATTTATTGTCAAACTTTTGCTCTTGACGCCTGTGGTCAAATTGAGAATAGATTAAATATTGTTTGTCTTTATTAATATTTTTTTATAGTGTAGCCTTGGCGAAATTTGTGATTATAGAAGTATAAAATACAATTATAATAGTGTACAAACTTACAATTCCAATTAATTATAGTCGAATTTCGACTACTGCGGGACCTCTAGTTTTATTAAAAGTTTATGAGAGAGAGAGATGATGTAAAATGATAATATTCATTTAGGGGAATTTCATTGTAATCACAACATACATATTTTTTTGTTCTTATCTTGTACACGTAACAGTTCTACGTTTCCTAAATACATGAATAAAAGCATCAAACTTATTACCTCGTTTGACGTATTAAATCCACAGAGTATATCGGCCGCTAAAAAACGCATCCGCGACTTAAGCCCTGCAAGGTTTGGCGCTCCGCTCGTAAAGTTGATGGCAATTTACGATAAAAAAAAGCTGATTCGCCCGTCCCAGGAATCACGCGATCCGGTTTGATGGTGATTTTACGGCCTACCCCCTAAATCTCGTCCCTCCAGCTGATAGCAGTAGGGGTGAATTCAGAATTTTAAATTTATCCGGCTATATGTATTTTCAGCTCGCTGTTTCTGGTTTGATACTTTTGTTGCTAGTTACTTTGAGTATTTTGCTCACTGAACATTTGAATTCAGGAGATTTATATAAAAAAAATACCTTTGAATTGAGATGCACTTCCCAACGGACAATGGGCCTCTGCAATTAAATAGCTCGGCACTAAATACTTAGTTGCAGTTCCGTACCGTGTCATTGTATTATTTGAAAAAATAACATTCCCGACAACCCTGCGTCTCAACTCGACTTCACAAAGGTGCAAAATTAACGACCCAACTTCGGTGATAGTCTAAAACATAAAATACATAAAAAAGAAACTCATAAATCTTGAACCGTCTTAAACTTTGTGAAAATTAATTATTTAACGTGGAATATGAAAGAGAAAAGGTAAATTATGACTTAGAGTGCTTTCAATTCACGCTTTAATACTTGTGGAGTGGACAAAGAGGTATAAAAAAATCAGAATTTTACTTATCACTCTTAGGCTATGCTTATTTTTCAAACTCTTCCCCTATAGGGCTGGTATGATATATAATAGAAAGACTTTTAGGATGAAATAGAGTATAGAAAGATTGGAATAGTGGAATAGATAGGATAGAATACGGTAGAGAAATAATATTGTAAATTACATAAAAGTAGCGCTACAGAGGGGTACGTATCCTCACAAGGAGGATCGGCAGTTGATCCGTGACCGACAGTACGGTTTCCGTCACGATCGCTCGACTGGCGATCTTCTTGTAAACCTTACTCACAGGTGAGGTTGAGCCTTGGAGAGCAAGGGCGAGACACTCGCTGTGAGCCTTGATATCGTGAAGACCTTTTACAGGGACTGGCATAGTTGAATTAAGCAGCTTACGGAATTTCGAAGGCTTTGCATCGCTAACTTTTTGGATGGGCGTTACCACGACCATTAACGCTGGTGTTCCAGAAGTTTCAGTGCTCTCTCCGACCCTTTTGATCCTGGGATAGATAGCCTATTGATAGCCTATTGATAGCACCCTATTGTCATAGTGCCGCAATTCCAAGGACTCTCCTTATACCCTTTCACGAGTATTGGGATACATCGGGTCGCCGTTTCGAGCGATGCCCAATATCGGAACCATTTGGAGAGTAAAGCCAAGTTGGCGTCCAAAATACTAAAAATACTCAACACAAAAAGCTGCACTTTACAATTCACCAAAGACTTTTGCTTTACAAAGCGCAAGTTCGGTCTCGCGTGGAGTAGTGCTTCCTACCTCTGGTCTGGGGCTCCCAAATACCAGCTACTTTCATTTGACTTTTATCAGAAGAGGGTCGTTCGGATTGTCGGTAGTCCAAGAATCGTTTGGAACCTTTGTGTTACCGTATGTTCGTATCGCCCATCGTCGAAGCCGAGTTCATCCATAGTGCGTTTCCAGAGATATTTTCTGCCACGTACTGGTGGTAGGATCTCTTATGAGTCCGCGCGGGTAGGTACCACCACCCTGCCTATTTCTGCCGTGAAGCAGCAATGAATTTCGGTTTGAAGGGTGGGGCAGCCGTTGTAACTATACTTGAGACCTTAGAACTTATATCTCAAGGTGGGTGGCGCATTTACGTTGTAGATGTCTATGGGCTCCAGTAACCACTTAGCACCAGGTGGGCTGTGAGCTCGTTCACCCATCTAAGCAATAAAAAAAATCCTAGTTTTGAATAAATTCCCGTCCACACTGTTTCCTGAGTGCTATGACATGCTCTTTTTCAAACGAGACTTGCGAAGACTTAGCGATAAGCAGTGTCTTAGCTACTGCCCCTATCGTTGCTGATGTTCATAAGCCACGGTAATTATTTACGATCAGTTGGGTCGTATCATCTTCGTACAAGGGCAACAGAGACAACAAACAAAAACTAGTTCATCTGATGTGTGGCTGTCGTGGATACTCGACTTCTGCTCTTTTATCACGCAGAAAGAGACTGCGATGAGAGCGAAGGCTCTTCTCTCTGAACCGATTTAGCCCGTCATATCCAGCTCCGGTTCTCGTACCCCTAAGTGTTGAAGGGGCAGGTTGTGACCCTGTGCGAGGTCTCAATGTAATTATATATTAATATTTTGTCAAATCTTGGCCATTTACAATCCTTTATTTTACTTTCGATTACTCCACATGTTGGTGCTATAAGGGACGGTAGTACCTAATGTATGTATGTATCTACAAGAAACGGAAATCGTAAAGAAAAGTTATGTCTTCAAATTCACTGCGCGTATTGATCTCTTTTGTTGTCAAGAACTCGATGCAAGAGGGAATTAAAGCTAAAAGAAAAAACGTTTAGGGGTCAACAATGTTAGTGTCAATGTTCACCCGCACAATATCAATGTTCGATAAGTTCTTATTATAATCGTATCCTGTATAAAGATTTTCTAGATAGATATATCAATGATCTGCCTATTATTTTGCTACTTGTATCGCACAGGCTCTTGTCAAGTTCTTTGTATTTATTAATACATGTGACTAGAGTCTGGCCGGACAACTTTCGAAATATTAACTTAAGCGCTATCTATCAATGACCCGTGAAAAGTTTAGAAAAAGCTGTACATAGCTTAATTACTTACCTTATTAATTAGTAACAGCCTTAGTAATTTTCAGGAAATGAAGAAAAAACTTCCTTCCAAAGTCTAAAAATTAAAACGTTAACAAAACGACCGCCCTATTCATAACAAACGAAATTTAAGTAACTTTGTAAGATTTATGTAGTATAATTTATTACTTCAATTTAAAGAATCAAAGTTGCAAGATATATACAAGCACATAGTACACCATTTATTTGCCAAGTATTCTCATAAAATCCTACAAAATCTAAAAAGAGCGGTCATTTTGTTTCTAATACTATTCACTTTATTTATCTGTGGAATCATTCGCGGCGACCGAGAGTGAATCAACGACTAAGGGGAGATTTTATAGTAATCTGTGGCGCTCAGTACGGCGAGCAGCTACAACGGTGTTTGGTACGCATTTCGCGCTCTCCCGCCTTAGTAACAAAAATAACACGCTTCTGTCGTATAAAAATACATATTTAAGGTGAGTTTCATTTATAATTACATGTAAATAACGGTAGAATTGTGTGAATATTAATATTTTATGTTCTTCGTGTTTTTCGCCTTAAATAGGCCATTCTAGGAACACTTTTGTAGGTTATAACAACTATTTTGAGTTTTAAAAAGTGTTTGTTGTAATATCTGTTAAATCGAATTATTAAACAGTAGTGTTCCAATCAAAATGTATGTTTTGGGTTAAATTGTTGTTGTCATTGATGTTTGAGTTTGATGTTACGCTCCCAGAAGAGAACGCGTCCCGCGCGAGTGTTGCCATGAACAAAATGTCTGACTGCATCGATTTTTAACTTTTAAATTATTTATAGTTATATTTCTAACGAAGGCAGATAAGCTCATGGATCACACATTTATATGTAGTTATTATCGCTTATAGATTCAACGTCACGTTATAAGCAAGCACCATTCTTAATGGCGACTACACTTCTATTTAGAGTATTATTGTCACATAATATGTCTACAATATTTTGTTTATTTACAGGATTTAAAATGACAGATAAACCGAAAAGACCAATGTCAGCGTATTTATTATGGTTGAACAGCGCTAGATCAAAAATAAAGGATGACAATCCAGGATTAAAAGTAACGGAGATAGCCAAAAAAGCAGGCGAAATCTGGAGGTCCATGTATGACAAAAGCGAATGGGAAGAAAAGGCGGCAAAAGCCAAAGAACAATACATTGTAGATTTAGAATCATTTAATGCAAATGGCGGCGGTCCCGTAGAGAAAAAAAAGAAAACCCAAAAACGCGGGAAGAAAGCGAAACCGGCGCCAAAAACAAAGAAAGTGAAACAGGACGCCGAGGACGATGATGATGATGACGATGACAAAGATGACGAGAACGACAGCGAATGATCTCTTTAAATTTATATTTTAGTTTTAAAGTTTTACTATTTATCATTTTAAATTCTGGACCATGAAATTAATATTTTTTTCACTCCACTTTTAGGGACTCGAATTTGCTACCCTTATGTTTTTTTTCTTTCTGGCTTTTGTTACTTAGATTTAAATAATACACTTTTTTGTTCGATAACTCATAATAAAATGTGTTTCAAGGAGTATTTTCTATATATATTTTCTTTAATTATTAATACAATTTAGAAGTTTACTTGTATTTTTATAAAGGTATTATTTTAATGAAATTGCATTTATTTGACGTAGGTAAGTGTAAGTTTACTATGCCAAGTGTTTTATAAAATTTTAAGTGAAATATTTCATAAAATAATGTGAAAACCGAGCCTGTTGTTTTATTTTTAATTAAAAAAGTAAACAAATGAAGTTCGAAAATTTTCATGTTACGTACATGTATATAAAGTAATTTGTATTTTAAAGTTTAATAATGTTTTCAAATAATGAACAATCTAATTGAAACATGATCTAGTTTTCTGACTAGTCTTTTCTTAAACTTTTAAGACATTTTTGCGTAACCAAAATCCGAGAGCTAATTCAATAACAAAATACTCTTAATTCGTAGACCAATAGATTTGATAAAATTATAAAGTCAGTTAAATGGAATAGTTTAAAGTTGTCCGCCGGCCGCCATTGCTAGGCCAGCGCGAGGCGACCCAAAAATAAAACTTGCTAAAAAACCGGCAGCGCCGACTAGAATCAATAACGTAAATACAATACTGGCCAGCCGTCAGAGCGTCTGCGCCCTTGTTTTTACACGTGCTTCTATCTCCGTCCCTTTCCAACGCGATGTAACTGGAACGAGAGAGATCGCGTTTGAGAGCTTGCTTCGCGCTGCGCGTGTCTGTTTGACAGTGTGCGCGTCGCCTTGTTCGTCAGTCGTGAACTAGCGGTATAGCCGCGTGGGTCTGCAGCTATGCCCAATGAAGTGATGATAAAACAAGAGTTCGACAGTGACGCTTCCATGTCGCCGCCGGTAGGGCGCTTAGTCGACTGTAACCAAGCTGAAGATCGAAAGATGATAAGGTTGGTGCGGGACCGGCCTTTGCTGTACGCCCGAAGTAATATGCCCGTTGCCAGTTATTACGCGCAAGTCAAAATGCTGTGGCAGGAGGTCGCCGACGATATGGGTTGGAGCGGTAAGCGACGTTACGTATCTAATTTTTATCTACGAATGTGATTATACTGTAATAATAAAGCGGATAAGTCGAAATAAAATACAACGTAACGTTTCCATGGACATACAAGGTTCATTTCAATTCGGTCGGTGTATATAGATGTTTGTGGAAATTTGGACTCTGCTTACAGGGTTCACTGTGTAAATTGGCTTGCACTGTTCATGGTAACATATATCTCAGTGTTGATATTCTTCGTATTTTGTTTGTTTTATTCGAAAATGTGAAGTGTAAAATAATAGAGCGTAGAGACGTGGATATTCCAACGCGTGTACGAGTTTTTTTGTATATTGTTTTTTTCATACTTTTCATTATTTACATAGTTTTATAACTAAAATGCTATCTTTGTTTCTTTGTTTATAGTGTTTGTTTTACATGTTAGTAACGTAACCTATGAAAGAATAGAGTGTATCATAAATTAACCGTTAATGTAATGAAAGAGAGACCCGGTACATATCGATAAAATTTGAATAATTAGTACCGCTTGTCAAAATTGCCGATATGTGAAAATATAGTTGCTATCTACTAAGAATTTGAATGAGTTTAGGCCCTAGATTTTGGGGATAGATACGCGTTGTATTGGCTCGAGGCACATACAAGCCTGGGCTTACCTGGTGTGGGTTATGCCACGAGAATGACATCGCTGACCTTGAGACATGAGGCCGAAGTTTCAATTGAACTCGAGCGAGAGTGGCGCGGTGTGTCACGGCCGCAGGCCTTAACACCCCTCCAGCGGGCCGCTGTACCGTTGGGACTTTCAGTAGACCGAATCCCACTAAATTAATATATAAAATCTGTATTATAATTATGTTGAATTTCAGTTTTTTTTATATTACGTATGTTTTGAAATATTACTTACTATAATTTGATTTTTTTTAATTTTTTTTATTGCCTAGATGTTTGGGCTAGTTCACAGCCCACCTCGTTGTTAAGTGGTAACTGGAGCCCATCGACATCTACAACGTAAATGCACCACCCACCTTGAAATATAAGTTCTAAGGTCTCAGTATAGTTACAACGGCTGCCCCACCCTTCAAACCGAAACACGTTACTGCTTCACGGCAGAAATAGGCGGGGCGGTGGTACCTACCCGTGCGGACTCACAAGAGGTCCTACTACCAGTAATTACGGAAACTATTTTGTGGGTTATATACAAATTTTGTGGGTTTGGTTTTTATTACACGATGTTATTCCTTCACCGCGGAAGTCAATCGTGAACATTTGCTAAGTACGTACTTCATTAGGAAAATTGGTACCCGCCTGCGGGATTCGAACACCGTTGCATCGCTAGATACGAATACACCGGACGTCTTATTCTTTGGGCCACGTCGTTTTTTTTTCTTTTTTTTTTCCTACCTAAGCTGGTAGCCTTGAGAGGCTATTCCAGCGTAACTTTAACTAGTAGGTGAGCTCACGGGGCTCAAACCTAACGACGTTGCTAACACGAACCCAAGCAAGAGCCGTGTTTCGCAGAATCTTCCACCGGTCCCTACGTACGAATGCACCGGACGTCTTATCCTTTAGGCCACGACGACATTCAACAGTTTTATTCCAAGGTATATACGGCTTAGTTTCATGTTTGCCTGTCGACTCTTTTCCCTCAGTCCCTGACGTCAGAAGAAAGTGGTCGCACATCAGAAACTCATACTCAAGACACCTTCGCAACGAGATCCACGGCGCCCGCACGGGAAAGGGCCGCATGGTGTCCAGGTGGTACTTAGCTGATGAACTGGAATTCCTCAAAGAGCACATGGCTACCGACGTGTGAGTATTTTTTTCGATTAATAAGCATGATCTCAAGTTCCTAGAGTAATTGGAGGAAAATGTCGCTGGACGATGTTGGACCCAGTAATCTACCCACCGGTCACCGGACCCCATGAAGGAGGGCCATGTTCAGCTGTTGTAACTATACTGAGAGCTTAGAATGTATATCTCAAGGTGGGTGGCGCATTTACGTTGTAGATGTCTATAAGCTCCAGTAACCACTTAACAGCAGGTGGGCTGTGAGCTCGTCCACTCACCTCAGCAATAAAAATATATTGTTCATAATGATGACTCAAAGAGTTAGCTAACATCTATACTAATATTATAAACCTGAAGAGTTTGTTTGTTTGAACGCGCTAATCTCAGGAACTACTGGTCCGATTTGAAAAATTCTTTCAGTGTTAGATAGCACATTTATTGAGGAAAGCTATAGGATATAACATCACGGTAAGACTAATGCAAGTGGAGCACCAATAAAGAATGTTTTAAAATAGGGGTTTAAAATTTAAATAGCTCCTTAACATTCTATAATTTAAAAATATTTCACTTTCTACGTAAATGAAGTGGGAGTAAAATTTAGCGTTATGCCAAAGAAGTAACTATTACTAAAGAAGTAACTATATAACGGACGCAGTCGTGGGCAAAAGCTATTCTATAATATAATAATAGATCAAGCTACATATTTTTGTTTTTCATATCAAGGGATTAATGAGTTCCCTCTTAGCGATCTGTTAGCAATTTGAGTTTGCTGATCGGTCTGCCGTCACGTAGAAACTGACCAGTAACTGGCGACCGTACTTTATAGATTTTAGCAAAAGTAGGTACAAAACAGTAACTAAACTATTTGCTACACTAAATATTGAAATAAAAGTACAACATACAATAGAAGTAAAATCAGCACAACATATTTATGACCCACGTGTATGATGTCCAGCAGAAGATCGTCTCCATACCCCACGACATACGCTCCCAGCTACCTAGAAATTGACATGGCGAAAAAAACAGCCGAGGACACCTTGGATCCCTTCATCCATAACCCTTGGTTCACTCTCGCCACCAGTCGCACCAAGATCGAGGACCGCGAAGACTCCAGCTCACCTCACAGCGTGCGGACGGACGCCGTGGGCTCGACCAGCCAGAGTTTCGAAGCTGACGAGAATTCCGCGTACTTCCAATTCTTTAGAGGAATACATAATGATTACCAGGAACTGCCCCCGAAGAAACAGAGACTATTCAGGCGACAGTGTCTTCATTTCCTGCACAACTTGCTCGACGACAGTGACGGCCACGATCAGAGTAGCGCTATCAACTTATCCAATAACGCTGACAGCAATTCCAGTGATACAGAGACAAACATCTTGCCTCATTAGTTAATTGTAATGGTGTTGTTTATTGATTTGTAGTCGGATATAATGACTGGTTGTTATCCAGTAAATAAAACTAGCATTGGGTCTGTCTTGCTGTCCGTTTGATTACACGATGCATCAATATTGTAAGTTAATAATGTATTTACATCATTCACTTCCCGACGTTTTGGAAGTATTTTCCTCGGTAATTTAGGGTAAGAGTTTGTGGACGAGGTTTGATTAGAAAAAAAGTTATTAATGTGGCTGCGGAAGATGACAAATACGTAGTTAGCCAATAATCAAACTTCCAACATTGCTGTGTCACTTTCAAACGCGAATAACAAAATTTCTGAAACATGAGATCATTTTAGTGAACCACATTGAATATTAGTATATAAACAGCAATTGTTTCTAGCAAGCAAAGCAATTTCGGTAATTAATTGTCACTGTATTCATTTTTATTATCTTTGAAAATTGTTACTAGCATGGCGATCAACTAGGTCGCATTCTTAAATGTCAGTTAAGTAACCCAATAATCCCATAATATTTATTGATTTTTATAATATGATCACAACATTCCTAATAGTAATTAATGTTGATGTTTATTTGTTTTTAATTTACAAATTTAAAGAGCCGTAATGGTTATCGCCTGTCTATCCTTTTTCTTATAATGGTTGGATGTTTTTTGAATAATATGTTTTCGAGTATACACAAAGTGAAATTTGTAATAAAATAATTATCAAATGAGAGAGAGAGAGAGAGAGAGAGCGATTGATTGCAATCGATAAAGTCTTTATATGAACTATGTACATAGATGTAGTTGATAGACCTTGATATTGACAGCGATAAAGTATACAAGTATTAGTTTCAAAATAGGTATATATTATTATTTTTTTTAACGCAAATAGTGTTACCTGAATTGGACGATAGCGACCTACAAAAAATCGAAACAACCGTCATTTGTAGTCGGAGACCTGAATAATCTTAAATATCACATCGCAATCTTTTTTGTAACATTCAAAGCCCGTACGCATATACTTTTGTGACAGTTTAAGTGGTTAGGGCAATCCTAGCAATAAAGAAACATCCACCGCATCCCCTCATTAAGACAGATCTAATGAACTCAGCTTTTGCGAGTGTAAGGCATGTGAGGGCTTTATAGTTCACGTGTATACATTCATCATCAGTTCAGTTTCATTAGATGGACCGACGAATTCTGGGTTCTGGTCCCAAGTGACTATACTAGCCCATAAAAATTTACTTCTCGATCAGATAGGGATTTCACGAGGTAACCAAGGCCACGAGAAACTGCTGGATGCGAGTAGAACATTCGAACCTTGGAGAAACTAATGTCTTTAGAATTACGATTCAATCTTTAACAATTAATTTAGAATACAAGACGAGCAGGGTCTGATGTACGTTGATACGACGCCGCTAACGGTACCCGAAGCTAGTGAGTGTGACGAGGGCGCCGCGCGTGAAACTAGAGAGCGGGGTGGCAGAATAATCTTCCACAAAAACATGTTTTAATGTTGCCGAAGGCAGACGAGCTCACACTCTGTGGCCTAATTTAGCCTAGTTTAATTTGTATGCAGTCGGAGCAGCGCCCCTAGCGGCAAACGTAGGCAAACCTTCCAACTCCATATAAATTTGAGTTAACTTTTACGCTAACGAGAACGTTAAAAAACTCGCACTAAGCACACTGATCGTGAGTCATCATCGATGCTAATGACTTTGGCAATGCCGGCTTAAGCGAGCTTAAACTACTTAAGCCGATCTTCGAGTGAATACTCAGATCATTCGCCTTTTCGTTAAATCGCTACCAAGACAATAATGTAAATATTGTTCTTCATCAGTAGACCTCTTCGTAAAGGTCGATAATCTTACATATCGTTAATACAATGGACACACACGGACAAAATGAATATAGAAGAACACACCAGATTGTTAAAGTGTTTCCTTAGAAAAGAAAATATTAATTATAAATACGTACTTTAATAATAGCTATTATTGTTTTTAAATATATTGTAATATAATTTTTATGAACAATAAATTTTATTGTCACGTTGTATAATTTTCTTTTAAGCAATACTTATCTATTTATGTGGTTCCACCAGTCTGTAATCTATATATCAATACGTGAAGCAAAAACTTTGTATCCCTTTTTACGAAAATTGCGGGGACGAAGGAGTATGAAATTTTCCACACTTAAAGAGAATATAGAGAAGAAGTGCACAATGCTAATATTTTTGTAAAATAATGCATAAAAGATACATTAAATCAATAAAGAAAACATTACACACACTACATACCATGTATTTGACGCACACACGCATGCATCCTTTTTATTGTCAAACTTTTGTTCTTGACGTCTGTGGTCAAATTGAGAATCGATTAAATATTGTTAGTCTTTATTAATATTTTTCTCTAGTGTAGTATTGGCGTTGAAAATACAATCATAATAGTGTACAAACTTACAATTCCAATTAATTATAGTCGAATTTCGACTACTGCGGGACCTCTAGTATGTTTAGATTGGTATGGTTGACATAACAATGTCATTGCTGCCGCTACCAAGAAATATTAGATCAAATTATAAACTATCAAATTCAGATTTAAACCTAAATCTCATGTCTTATATCGGTAGCGGCTTTTAAATAGTGATGTGTCATGGACTCTGGTAGTGGCCCGTTAGTTGTTTCACTCATGTATGGATTGAAAAATCTCAGATGCTTATTGTTTTAAACTATTTATCCATCTATATCCATGAAGACGTCATGGTCTAAAGGATAAGTCGCCTGGTGTTCGGAATCCCGCCAGCGGGAACCAATTTTTCTAATGAAATACGTACTTAGCAAATGTTCAGATTTACTTCCAAGGTGAAGGAATAACATCGTTAAAAATCAAACGCGTAAAAAAATGTAATTTGCGCAATTACTGGTGGTAGGACCTCTTGTGAGTCCGCACGGGTAGGTATCAACCACCCTGCCTATTTCTGCCGTGAAGCAGTAAACTATCCATCCATAAGGGAACTTCGAAAAAGATCGCCCACGTCAGGATCTTCAAACTCCTAAGGAATCTCATCGAATTGATTTCTCATCTCGACCATAATCCTCCTCAGTCATAAACAAAAAGGACAGCGCAGATATCGTCCCGGAAGCCTCCGAAACAACAGATAAAAAGCATTTCCAATTTACGTCCCCGACTTGCGTAATATCCGGGACCCAATCAACCGTTTGTGTTGCGTCTCTGGGCGCGAGCGGGTCAGGTCCTCGACGTGACGTCATTTGGCGTGTTTAAAGAATCTATTGTCCACTGACCCTTCCCGAGGGACTGCCAAACTCAGTTATTCTCTGAAATGTCTACTCGCTTACCATATTGACTAGGGCTGCGTCATCTCTATCAATACTGAAGTGAAACGTAAATAGAAACTGAACTGAGAACTTAATGACTATGTTATGATTGTGGTGGTGGCTTGTTGAATGAGAGATAATTTTAATATCGTACATTATAAAACATGATGTAATAAAATCGAAACCTGCAGAATTTATTAAAAGCCTATTTAATTAAGCCACAAAACAATCATATCTCCTGTTCCAATTGTTAGGTCCAACAGGTTGGTATTACTGATTATCTAAACCAAAAAAATGTTGGAAGAAATATAGCATGAGCACCCAGACTGACGCTTGGAAGTGTTTTGTAGCCTTGAGGATCAAGAATACTCATATACAGCAAACAGTTTACGAATTAATATTGTCGATGGTCCAATTTGTATAAATACAGCAGAGATTTTTATCCTTTTTTTTTACCAGGTCATTTCGGATCCTCCCGATCCACTAACGATGCTTTTAGGTACCTCAAGCACCGGTCGTCGTTCTCGTCGAACCCATCGCTTGCGACGAAGGGCTCAACGAGTAAATTAACCCTCAGACACAGCCCACTGAGTTTCTCGCCGGATCTTCTCAGTGGGTCGCGTTTCCGATCCGGTGGTAGATTCTGCGAAGCACGGCTCTTGCTAGGGTTCGTGTTAGCAACGTCATCAGGTTTGAGCCCCGTGAGCTCACCTACTAGTTAAGGCGACGCTGATATAGCCTCTCAAGGCTATCAGCNATTAACCCTCAGACACAGCCCACTGAGTTTCTCGCCGGATCTTCTCAGTGGGTCGCGTTTCCGATCCGGTGGTAGATTCTGCGAAGCACGGCTCTTGCTAGGGTTCGTGTTAGCAACGTCATCAGGTTTGAGCCCCGTGAGCTCACCTACTAGTTAAGGCGACGCTGATATAGCCTCTCAAGGCTATCAGCTTAGGTAGGAAAAAAAATATCCTTTTTCTAACACCAAGTTCAGGCAACCCTGTAGGAAACAAACGGCGTCTTACAAAGAAAATTGAACCGTACTCCTTAAATACATAAGGCTTGTTTTACGTTGTCTGCCGAAAAGGGTTGTTAGTGCTGCCTCGAAGGCAAAGAGAAGGGTCCTATAAATCAAATAGGGACCTTCAAACACGACGGCTGAATGAGACTGCTTTACATGTTCTAGAACAGTCTAATCTATGTGCAGAACGTGCTAAAGGTGAACTATGTTTTAGTTTTAGTGGTCCCCGGTGCTACAGTAAGTTGGAAAGTATCAAACATCGCATGCTTTATGCTGAACAGTTGTGTCTTGTAATTAAGGTTGCCACATTTTTTTGTAGATAAAATACATTGGTTATTTATTATAGGTAGGAAAAAAAGCACATAGTATTAAAATAAAATACAATTTATTTTTAATTGTTATTATGTTTGAATACATTTTTTTTACAATTGAACAAATTAAACAAGAAATTGTGAAAAGCACTGACAATGACATTGTTGACATTTGAGGTTAAGTTGCGTTCAGAAATATTTGTTAAAAAAACGAATGATTAGGTGAAGTGGCGATGCGGAACATACATTGGCGTGTTGCTCTGGATTCGACGAGCAACGCGCCGCCCTCGTCGCGGTCATAGGTGAGGACCTCTCGCTGCCGCGCGTCGTGGCTACGATGCTCGGCAGCGACGCGTCCTGGAAGGCGATGCTCGACTTCTGCGAGTCCACCATCTCGCAGAAGGAGACGGCGGAGCGAGAGAGGGAGAGCTCTTCCCTTTCCGCACCGATCCGTCGCCGTCGAGCCGGGGGCCGGAGGCGGGAATACGCCCGTACGTCCCGGCCCCTGTAGGTGGCGGCCTCCCCCCGGTGAAGGTCAAGGGGCGACCTGAGGGGGTGAGGCCGCGCGGCGCGCTACCAGCACTCTAGCGCGCTGCCGTGGAGTGAATAGAGCGACCGGTCGACGGTGTATCGCGTCCCGACCCGGCAGGCTGGTTCTGGTCCAGCGGGGTATTCCGGGACACCAGCGGCACCGTCTGGGCGGCCCGACGGGCTGCCGTACCGAGACGGCCGACGTTTCAGAGCCTTCGATTCGCCTCGAAGGCTCCGTCGGCTGGGCGTCCTTGGGGTGAGCCGCGCCGTCTGGTTGTAGTGTTGACCGCGGTAGCCCCCCTACCTCATCCGGGTTCTGACCTCGGAGGGGATCGGACGTCGGGTGTAAGAGTGCAGGGGTGTCGTTTAGTGGGTGGGTCCTAAAATCCTTGGGCCCGCGGTCTGCTCACAACACCATGCAGATCGTTGAGTCTCACATACCCCGCGCGTCCCATTTGCGCGGGGACCTCGTAGGAGGTTCGGCCCTCTACCCGAAAAAAAAAAAAAAAAGGTGAAGTGGCGATGGCGAGTGGCGACATCGATTGAGCAATTGATGTATTTCGCTTAACGAATAAATACATATGACTAAGCTTTTCAAAATCCCAACCATCAGTACTTTATTGTTCACATAAAGTATGAAGTATAGTAACCGGCAAACATCTTGAGCAAATGACCTTGACTGCGCAGAACCGAATTTTAGATCACTTTGGTGGTGAGGGTGAGGCGCGACGGCAGGGGAAATCGTATCGAGCGCGTTATTGGTAGATCAGTCGAACCTTGCGTCCCGCACCGCGCCCTCATTCCGCTTGCTCCGAAAAGTACGCTTGCGTACAGTGGAAAGTTATTATATTATTAAAGTCTATCGTTATTAATCGTTAAGTTATTTGTTATAATTACTTGTGGACTTTGTTGCCATTGCTATTTGTTGAGTGTTTGTTGATTTTTTATAAAACATACACTATGCCGCGACAAACCGGTGTAGTATTCAAAAGAAAGGGTAAAAAATTGTGTACGACGTATATTGCTTCATTATAAAACAGGGGAAAAATTAAAACAGACTTCGGAAGTAACAAAACCATCAGTGAGAACTGTTAGGTGCATTATTAAGGAAGCTAAAGGCTCTGGCTTGCTCGCCGTGTTGCGGACTCCGGGTAAGAAAAGATCAGGGAAGAAGAAAGTTACCGGAATGGATAGTTTCGTTCAATCTGTAATAAAAAGATGTAATCATAATAACTACATAACAAGCAGCGAAACTCCGTACCGTAGAAAGGCTTCGAAAACTTTAAAGAAGATATACATTTTAATGGCTCGGAATGAAGCTTACGACGTATTATGAAAGAGCTAGGCTTTAGATGGAAAAAAAGAACAGAAAATAATCGGAAGCTGGTAATTGAAAAAAGTAACATTCGATTACTACGAATCGAATATCTTCAAAAAATAATTAATTATAGACAAAAAAGAAGACCGAATCGACCGAGTTGTAAACTACACCGATG